CATGTGCCCCAACAGGGAATCGAACTGACAACCTTTCGGTTTGCAGGCCAGCACTCAATCCACTGAGCCACATCAGCCAGGACAACATGAGTCAGTATTTAGTTCCCTCTTATGGCTGTGTAATATTCCATTGGATAGAGAGACCACCTTTTATTTATCCATGCATCAGCTGATGGATACTTGGGTCACTTCCACTTTAAGGAGTCATGAGTGATGCTGCTATGAGCATTCCTGTGTAGACATTGTTCCCCATTGTTTTGGAGTGAATTCTAGACATTCTATAATTCCATCTACATAAAGAAATAGGTCTCTCCCTGGCCGGTGTGGCTCAGTGGATTGGGCACAGGCTTGTGAACCAAAGTGTGGCAGGTTCAATTCTCAGTCAGGGCGCATGGCTGGATTGTGGGCCAGGACCCCGTGGGTGCTGCGAGAGAAGCAACCACACACTGATGCTTCTCTCCCCCTCTTTCTCCTTCCCTTCCCCTTGCTCTAAAAATAAATAAATAAAATCTTCAAAAAAAATAGGTTTCCATCCCAGAGAATCCCCCTTGTCCTCTTGAACCTGACCCCAAAGGGCTCCCCCCAAGGATGTCTTATCAGGATCTCGGGGCTGTTTCTGAAAACCGTATCCACCCAAGGCCCATGACAGGCCCTGGCTGAGCCTCTTTCCCAGAAGCCGCAGCCAGCCGCTCCCAAACAGGCCCAGGCGTGCCCTGAGCCTCGCTTCCACAGAAGAAAGACAGAGGGGCCCAACCTGCTGTCAGAACACGTGAACACCAAAGGAAAGAGAAGCAGATCCCAGACTAAAATGGTTGAGGAGAAACAGTGCAATGAGAAGGTGAGGGCTGCCCCAGGAGGAAGGGGCCTGCGGCCCTTACAAATACTCTGCCGTCTCAGTGGGCTCGGCGCCGCGTGTGCCCTGGCCTCCGTCTGTGCTTACCGGTAGATGTACACGTACTTCTCCGTGTATGTGCTACGCCCCAGAGAGGGGCTGCTCAGGAAGCTGTAGGGCCCAGAGCCATCGTATCTGTCAGGAAAGGGAGCCCAGCATCAGAGGCCCTGAGGCTCAAGGGGATCCCGGATTAGACCCACAGAGCCCGGCTCACCGGTTGAGCTCTCGAATCAGGAGGTTGATGACACTGGGAGAAGGGTCAACCACCTCCTGCAGCACCATGATGTCGCAGCGGGCCAGGATCTGCAGGACAGCAGGAAGGCCAGCCCCGCTCAGCACCAGTGCCCCAGGAGGGGGGTGAGGTCCCTGAGGAACTGGCACTGGCCACTGATGTGGGCGAGAGTGTCAGGGCGTGCTGGCTGTGGCCCCCAGAGAGCAGTGGGACTAGAAAAGACCTGGGAGAAAACAGAGTGCCACCCCTGCCCACACTATGCCCAGTTTACAGGGGAAGAGACTCAGGCCAACGCCACGGAAGGCCCTTGCCCAATGCCTGTACCCATGTTCCTTCTTTCCTGGGACATGCTCTGGGTCAGGCAGGGCTGGGGGCTTTGTCTTGTGGTCTTCGGGAGTGCAGCTTCCCTGCAATGATGAACTTACCCGAACTAACGTGTCCATCACATGCTCCCTGGCCACCTTGGCAAGCGTCAGCCGCTGGGCGTTGAAGGCACAGATGCGAAAGGCCCCAACCCCACCAACCAGGAGCAGGAGCACAGCTGGGCAGCGCATGGCTGTGTTCGCGCTACTGGGACCCTCTGGAGGAATCCAGGTTGCCTCAGGATGCAGTCCCAGCTGGGCTCGGCTCTGGTTTGAGAAGGACACGGTGTTATGGACAGAGGGGGAAGTGATGCTCATTCTGCTGCCCAGCACCAGCCCCCGGAGAGTTGCCAGTGTCGCGGATTTCCTGCCTTTTCTCCCTGCGGACATCTTCTGACATTGACACATATGGCTTGGCCTCATTCTTTTCATTGTGGTAAAACACACATTGCATAGAATTTAACATCTTAACCATTTTTAAGTGTACAGTTTGGTGTCGTTAAGCACATTCACACTGCTGTGCAACCATCACTGCCATCCACCCGCAGAACTTTTTCATCTTCCCAAACTGAAACTCTGTCCACATTAAACACTAACCACCCCCATATCTCTCCATAGCCCCTGGCACCAAACACCCTACTTTCTGTCTCTATGAGTTTGCCTACTCCAGGGTCCTCATGGAATGAAATAATACACTAGTTGTCCTCTTGTGACTGGCTTATTTCACTTAGCCTAATGTCCTTAAGGTTCATCCATGTTGTAGCATGTCAAAATTTCCTTCCTTCCTTTTTTTAAAATTGAATTTATTGGGGCAACATTGGTTCAAAACTTCCTTCCTTTTTAAGGCTGAATAATATTCCATTGTATGGATAACCACATTTTGTTCATTCATTCATCTGTGAATAAACACTTGGGGTGCTTCTACCTTTTGGCTACTGTGAGTAATACTGCTTATGAACATGATTGTACAAATATCTCTTCAAGTTCCTCCTTTCAATTCTGTTTGGTATATTCCCAGAAGTGGAATTGCTGAGCCATGTAGTAATTCTATGATTAATTTATTGAAGAACCACTATACTATTTTCCATAGCAGCTGCACCAACTTACATCCCTTCCAGCAGTGCACGAAGGTCCAACCTCAGGGTTGATCCCAGCTTTTCACTGCCATTAGTAACTAGGAGGACCATCCTCACAAATCTTTCTCCGCTTGTGAGATGTTATCTTTAAGACAAGCTCTCTGCAGTGCAACTGCTGGGTTTAAGGGCATATGCATTTAGAATGATCTCAAATACACCCAATCACCCCACTGCAGTGTGTGATGGGGCCCCTTCGCCATGCTGCACCACCATTGGTGAGCCCTTCTTGTTCATCTTATCAGCTAGAGAGACCCCCACACCCTTCCAGAGAGTCTCTCGTGGTTTATTTTTTTCTCAGACTCACCCTGACTCTGCTCTTTTGGGCTCAGCTCCTTGATACACCCTGTTCATGTGGCTCTCATTTAATGATATCATAAGTGCTTTGACTTCTGTCTGCCTACTCTTCTCCCTCACTTTGTCGCCTTCCCCCCGGGGCTCACTTGCCTCCTCTCTCAGGCTCTGCCTCTGTTTTTCTTGGCCTCTCCTCTCTGTTTATCTGTTACAGCTTCTCTGCACATCTTCCCACTCCTGGCCAGCTCCACGCCTGTTTCTCCTTCATCACCTGCTCTGTCACTCATGTGAGTTCGGGTCGCCCGCCCTGGTGCCTATTCTGGGATGTGTGTGGGTGTTTGGGCAGGCCTGAACTGTCAAGGACAGGCTTGGAGGTTCTAGGGCCAGGGGCCCCCCAGGAGGGTGGAGGACAAGAAGAACCAAAGCCCAGCCTGGGTTTCTAACACCAGACTTTGGCCCCAGCCGCGGGGTTCCCTTTCTCTCTTACTACTGCCCCCATCTCCGGACTGGGGGACAACTTCCACCCTCCCTCTGCCCAGAGGGATTCCATACCTGCACAGACCACCTTGTCTGCACACTTGCCTCAGCTGTAAGAGGATCGAGACACACCACGGAATCACGACGCTGTCTGCCAGGGCCCCGAGAGGAGAAAAGAGGAACAGGCTGTCTTATTGCCCCTCCCGTCCGGGCCAAGCCGACCAACCTTCACTTCCCCACCAGCAGGACCGGTCCTGGCACCGCCCCAGAGCTTGATGATAGGACAGGCAGCTGATTCCTACCCACCCAGTTTTCCATCAGACGCCGCCTCCCCCCACCCCCCCACCCGCCCCCGTCCCCGCTGCGTGAGACCGGGCAGGGGCGGAGGCCCGGGACTTCAGGAACGTGACAGGCCTGTGAGTCAGAGAGAGAGAGAGAGAGAGAGAGAGAGAGAGAGAGAGAGAGAGAGAGAGACATATCCAGGCGCAGCAGCCCGTTAATGAGTGGTTGCTTGGGCCAAGGGTGTTCGGCGAGGAGGAGCGGGCGCTTGAGTGCAAACCTGGAGCTGGATTCTCCCAGACCGGGCGCTCAGTCCCCGCTCTGGGACTCCCTCCAGGCAGCATCTGGTGAGGGAAGACGCAAAAGCTGGAGCTCGCGCTCTACTTAGGGGGAGCCCCGCGGAGAGCCTGGGCACCCCTGAGGACAAGAGCTTTCTCTCCAAGTTTTCGGGCCGGGCCCCAGTGGGGCTGCACACTCCTGAGCTCTCGGGAGACCCAAAGTGAGCGATGGTTGGCGCAGGAACTGGCCGCGGTGCTGGATGTCAAGGGTACATTGAGGAACTGTCCCTGAGAGAGCGGTATTAGAGAGCTGGCAGGTCAGCACGGCGTGGTGTCTGGCACTCTTGCTGCTGGGACAGCTGGGGGACTACGCGAGGTCTGTGGGTGGGAGGCGAATCCTCACTGGATGGTTGCAGAGCAGTCATCAGGCCAATGTCGCCATAGCCAGTGAGCAAATTGGAAAAAAATTTAAGTCGATAAAATTACGATTTAATATAAAATATTGTCTTTTTGAGGGGTACGGGGCTTTCTTTTGGGGGATGATGAACATGTTTTGGACCTAGTTAGAGGCGGTAGTTGACAACATTACAAACGTATTACATGATACAAAATATCGCAACACACTAGATACATATTGTTATATATTACATTATATTATATACATATAGACATATAGTACAATCTATAACATTGTAACTGCAATAATGTAAAATCACATAATCTATAGGATAGCGTATATATTATCTACATAAAATATATAATTTAAATGCTATAAAATACTATGAAATGGTTAATTCGGTTACATAAATTTTACCTAAATAACGGGGGGGGGGACTAAAGTAAAAGTGCTTCGCTAGCCCCGACTTTGAGTGGTGTCAGGTAATCCTGCTGTGCATCCCACATTACCTCTGGAGATTTTTCTGCGGTTGAACAGAGACAAAAGGGACGCGCAGCTGTCGGGCGGCCTCGCTCTGAGACTGCGCTGGGGCCGGGCGTGGTCAGGGTTAGGACTGCCCCCTGCTGCCGTTAAGCTGCCCGCGCGAGTTTTGCGACAGGCGACGAAGGAACGTGTGGCCTTTGCGGGCTCGCTTTTCCGCGGGTGGGTGCGTGAGGCGCGCGGCTGCCGGCGTCGGTTTCTCTTGTTCTTCCCTGCGACCCCCAGCTCCTGATCACGGTGGCGGCTCGTCTGTGGCGAGAGAGCGGGGCCGGGCCAGGCTCTGGCCTGCCCCGCAAGGTGACCTTGGTCGAGTCCCCTGTCGCGCCGAGTCGCGGCACACGTCTTTGGCGCGGGCCCGTTAGGGACAGGGCTCTGGAGCGATTGAGGATACAGACCTAGAGCGGCCCCACAGGCTGCCCCGTGGCTGGGGACCGGCCAGGCCGCGGGGGGCGGTAGGGAGGAGATGCCCCTACATGTTAAATGGCCATTCCCCGCCGTGCCGCGGTTCACCTGGACCCTGGCCAGCAGCATCGTCATGGGCCTGGTGGGCACCTACAGCTGCTTCTGGACCAGTGAGTGGGCTTGGCCGGGGGAAAGCCTGGGCCCCAGAGGAGGAGGCGGCCACGACCCCCACACTCTCTCTCTCCCCCCAGAGTACATGAACCACCTTACCGTCCACAACAAGGAAGTGCTGTATGAGCTCATCGAGAACCGAGGCCCAGCCACCCCTCTCATCACTGTCTCCAATCACCAGTCCTGCATGGATGACCCTCATCTCTGGGGTATACCTACCAGTGTGCTGGGCACAGGGGGGCAGGGAGAGAACCCCAGAAACGGCCAAACAAAAGCAGGAGAAACTCACTTCTCACTGGGCTCTTCACTTAACTCTGGCCCTGCTGTTTCCGGGGTGTCCTGCCCTAATGGTGAAAGTTTGACTCGTGACCCTTCTTCAGCATCCATCCAGGGAAGGTGATTTGGAGAGAGCCTCAGAAATTTGGAGTGAATGGGGAAGTGAGGAATTGGCCCCAGGGCAAGGTCTGACAGTTTTCTCTGTTGCAGCAGGCCTGTGGAAGCCTTCCTTCTCTAAATTATTGAAGGTCCCACAGAGTCTTGGAGTCTTGGGAACAAATCTGAGGACCTGTCAAGGAAACTGGGCGAGGGGCTGGGAGACCTGTATCCTGTTTCCAGGTTTGCCCCAGGCTGGGTCTGTGCCCTTTAATCAACCTTATTTGGGAGATCAGCTTCCCACCTAGAAGTTCCTGCTCTACTGACCTCCCAGAAATGTTGTTTTGCTCTAGTAATCTGGATGGGGCCGGGTAGGGGGTTGTGGAGAGGTTTCACTGCCGAACACAGGAAGTTAGACTACATGGGGAACCAGCGTGTCAAATGAGAGCTTTCCAGAGCTCACCCTGGCTGCTGGGTAGGAAGTGGTCCGTAGGTGCCACGGGCAGATCCCAGGGGGCCAGGAAGGAGGCTTTAGATTTTAGCAGGAGCGTCCAATCTTTTGGCATCTCTGGGCCACACTGGAAAGAGAAGCATTGTCTTGGGCGACATACTAAATGCATTGTAACACGCAATTGCAGACACATCTCTGTTTTAAGTAAATTTACGATTTTGCGCTTGGCCGTATTTACAGCCATCCTGAGCTGTGCGCAACCCGAGGGCCACAGGTTGGACACCCCTGCTTACAGTATTCCAGTAGCCTGAACCAGGCTGGTGACAGTGAACCCGGAGAGAGAGGTATAGAAACGTAAACAGCACCAAAATATATTGCGGAGGCAGGCAGACCAGGCACGGTCACTAATGAGATACGGGGAATAGAAGAGAGTGAGGAGCCAGTGAGAACCTGGGGGGTCCAGCCCAAGGATCTGGAAAACACCAGTCTGGGCCACAGGGAAATGGTAGTGCCACTGCCCTTGTTCTTCGATCGCTGAAGTGGGGTGACGGAGAAGGTGTTTCCTGGAAACAAGGTAAGTTGGGGCATGACACCTTTCCTCTCCTTCTCTAGGGATCCTGAAACTTCGCCACATCTGGAACCTGAAGTTGATGCGTTGGTGAGGAGGAATGGGCCCCTCTCAAAGGGCCCGGCAGGCCTCACCCATCTCTGCCCAGATTTGCCCTCCTCCTGCTCTGCCCAGGAGGCGGCATCCAGCAGTCCAGGCAGGGCAGGGGGTGGGGCCCCGCAGGCCCTCTTGAGCCTCCATCCTGCATTGCTGAGGACGTCAGGCATCGCGCTGGGGGGGACAGGTCGGGAAGCAGGGACTGGGGAGGCAGGGATGACTGCGTCTGTCCTCACTCCAGGACCCCCGCGGCTGCAGACATCTGTTTCACCAAGGAGCTTCACTCTCACTTTTTCAGCTTGGGCAAGTGCGTGCCGGTGTGCCGAGGTGAGCTGCTTCTCCGGGAGGGGCGGTCGGGCTGGTGGGTGTAGGGAGGCCCTTCAACAGGCTTCTCTGGCCTCCCCTGGTGGTCCAGGCTTCTGGTTTGGCAGCACTGGGAGTGGAGAGACCCAGGTGGGACAGGCAGCCTGGGAGCAAGGAGCTAGTGCTGTTGCACTAGCATGAGGCATAGCTCCATTGCTGGAGGAGCGATGGTTTCTTGGAGAGTGCTTGATTCCCTGCACCTGCCTGAGTATTGTACAGATCTGGAGCTCTGGCATAAGAAGTGAAGGAGGTGTTATCCACAGCCCCTTCTCTTGAGGACATTGCTAAGAGACTCACTGGTGGCACTGTGGTGCCATGTGTCTGTGATGGAGGTGGCATGTGCCACAGGCTGCAGGGCTTGGTCGGAGAAACATGCCTATGAACTGAGGTGTCAAACATTGAATGACCACTCAGTACTTCTCAAGAGCCTCAGGAGCTAGGGGCCATTTTTGGTTCCCATTCTCCACCTGAAGGGACTTGGAGGGATTAAGCTGCTGGCCCAAGGTCACTGGGCGAGAGGCAGCAAAGCCGGGACTCAAATCCAAGTTGCTCTTTTCTTTGGGGAAGCAGCATTTTTCCAGGCAGAGTATGAAAGGAAAAGCATTCTAGACACAGGAAGCATTTGCCAGGCACTGGAGAGGTAATCGATAAAGGTAGAAAATGCAGTTTGCAGGCTGAAGGTGCTGGGACAATCATGTTAAGAATTGTGGAATCTGTTTCCTCATCAAGGTAGTGATGTGCTCTCATCTCTGGTTCAGAGGGAGAGAACCCTGGTTGTAGCGTGGGTGGTGGATGGGAACAGGGCTGGGTGGAGCCTGGTTAGGGGCCGTTGCAGCAATTCTGGCAGCAGACCATTGTAGCTGGGCCTCTGGGAGTCGCTGTGGAGAGCCTGAGAAGGGGACTACTTGGCCACACACTCTGGAGGCAGAGTTGACAGAATTGAAAATTCCATCATTGACGGATTGGGTGTGGGAGGGGGTGAGGAAAAGAGAACTCAAAGATGATGCTAGGAGACATCTGGTGATACTACGCCACTTGGAGGATGGGATGCGGGGGTTGGGAGAGGAGGTGGGTCCTGTTTTGAGTGTGATTCGTCTGAGGAGCCTGTCATCCAAGGAGGGGAACCGTGCCGGAGGCAGTGGGGTATGCAGTTCTGGAACTCACAAGAATGGTTGGAAAAAACAAAGAATGGTTGGGAATAAAGATACTGGGGACTCAACGACAAATGAAGTCACAAACATAGAGGTGAGGTTGCAGAGGACCCAGGGACCTCTGGACGGCACCTGCAGGGACCCGGGACAGCACCTCAGAGCACAGAAGGACAGACAAGTCACTGAGGAAGCAGGAAGCAATGGCCAGAGAGAAAGGAAGCAAAGCCCCAGGACCTTGTGGGGGCTGGAGAGGGGGAGGGGAGGGAGACAGTGGAGACAGCAGGGGTGGCCACTGCTCCCAGAGGCTGGTTGTGTGGAAGAGAGAGGAAGAAGTAACCAAAGGGTGTAAGAGGTGTCTAGGGGGAGTTGGTTCTTTTTTTAAAATTTCTAGTTGGTCAAGGTAAAACATGGTAAAATCTAATAAAGTCATCTCAAATAAATGAAAAGCTACAGTACTCATGCCTCCAAATCCTCAGACTACTCCCCAGAGACCGGCCTAGAACGCTTTTCGTTGCTGCTGCTGCTGCTGCTGCTGCTGCTTTTGGAGGCTGCTGCATCTCTTTAAAGCACACACAGACTACAGTGCCATGGCTAGTGACCATGGAGTTTTAATGCCCTGTTCTGAGAGATGGGGATTCTGCTCACATATCCCCATACCCGAGTCTCAGTTCCTCCCTTCCGCAACCCCAGACAGAGGCGTCCCATGTCCGCTTCTCGTGTTGTTTTTCTTTCTGACCTGCATCTAAGGTTTATTGCACAGTTAAAAACAGAAAGCGAAATCTTGACCCTAAACCCCTTCCGTGAGAGAAAGTGAGCAGGGACAAGCTGTTTGCCAAGTGATTTTGACGGACAGTGAAGATCTAATGCATTGAAGCAAAGGAAGTATTTGGCATACCTTGCTTCTGTGTTCCAAAAAATTCTCTCCCCCCTCCAAAGCATAGACCTCATGACATGACATGAAGTATTGGAGTGATCTTGCACAAGCTCGATCAGCGAGTAGAAAGAGAATTTGCAAAAGCTAAATGTTAGGAAGTGCTGCTCCCAAAGCATAGCGTTTAAAGCTTCGATTTTAAGCTGTATGGCCGGGCTGCACCAGTGGGCTTCAGTAGAGCAGGAGCCGATAGCTCTGAAGCCCACTTCTGCCAGATAACGCAGCCTCAGGAAGGGAAAGCACCATCCTCAGCGTGCTCCCCAGCTGCAGCCCCTGAGGAAGCTGCTGGGCCAGGCCCCCATTTGGGTTCGATTGAGACTCCTGGAGCCTTAAATGGCATCTTCCAAAGACCTAGCCTTGCAGAGAACAGATTAAAGGTCCATTTCTTGGTGCATCGGCCCAAGCCAGTCCCAGTGTGGGTCTCCCTCTGTGATGTGCTCATCTACTCCCCACTTGCTAAGATGTTTCCTCTTTACCCTGCTCCTTCAACCCCCCCTCTCTGTCTCTGTCCACTGGATGGACAGGGTTGATGACGCTCTTACTGTGTGTGGTCATGAATTAGCTCCACTTGGCTCCAGGTTGAAAGCCTGCGTGCAGCATTAGGCATCCGTGTCTGTGTTCTTGCTGACCTCTGGGCCACCTGGGTTCAGTGTCATGGTCTTGGGGCATCTCCAAGGTATGTGTTGGTAGCACTGGGGGCAGCTGGAATCCATTGTTTTCAGTCTAGCCAGTTTGAGTTTTTCCCAACTTGTAACACCATATGTTCCATCAAACGGAGAGTCTAGTTTTCAAGGGGAGCCCCATGAGTAAGGGGCTGGCAGGTGAAGAAGGCCGAGGGTGCAGGCAGGGCTGGGAGGCCTGTGAGGAGTGGCTGCAGGAACCTGCCTGGCCTAGCTGCTGAGAAAGGGTTGCGATCCAGAATCTGTGGCCCAAGTGGGGCTGGAAGTCATGAGCAGACTTGGTTTGCTCCAGCAGCTGCCTCTGGGCCAAGGGCAGCAGACAGACACTCGCCTCGGGGTGGCTCCTCCCGAGGAGAAAGAAGGCTTTGAGAGCCTGGCTGCGGAGGGAGGGAGGGTAGAGGGTAGTGCGTGGATGTGGGGTTGCCAGGGGCTTTACTGCAGGTGGATGCCTGTGGCTGAATGGCTCAGTGGGTGAGGCCATGGTGGGACCAGTAGGCAAAAGGTGGGGTTGAGCCCTGGCTTGGTAGCTCAGTTGGTTAGAGCATCATCCCGCTTCGCCAAGGTTGCAGGTTCAATCCCTGGTCAGGGCACATACAAGAAGCAACCAATGAATGCATCAATAAGTGGAACAACAAATCTCCCTCTCTCTCTAAAATCAATCAATAATAAAAAGATTTTAATTTAATTTCATTTTTAAAAAATTTTATTTCTTTATCTTTAGAAGGGAAGGGAAGGAGAGAAGGAGAGAAATATCAATATATGGTTGCCTCTCATGCGTCCCCTGCTGGGAACTGGCCTGCAACCCAGGCATGTGCCCTGACTGGGAATCGAACCGCGATACTCTGGTTCGCAGGCCCGCATTCAATCCACTGAGCTACACCAGCCAGGACAAAAGAGATTTTTTTTAAAGTGGCATTGGTGGTCAGTGGGGGAATTGCCAAGTTCAGACTTTCAGTCAGTTTGAGATGATGCTGCTGCCTTGCAAGTGACAGGCACTCAGAGGGTTAGACGACAGTACCAAACAAAGGAGAGCTGCGAAGTGAGCTGGGGCTGAGCTGGCTCGGGAGACACGGTCATTGGAGGTTGTCTGTGTGGACGGTGCAGTGGGGAAAAGCGAAGAAGCTGTTCCTGAGCTGCTGCTTTACTTATCCTGCTGGAGAGGGATGGAGGGGACCCCAGGAGAGTGGGGACTGATGGGGAGATGCCTTTTCTTGGCAGGAGACGGTGTTTACCAGAAGGGAATGGACTTTATTTTGGAGAAGCTCAACCACGGGGACTGGGTGCACATCTTCCCAGAAGGTCAGTGAGGCTGGTAGGGTTGCATATCCCCAAGAATATGGACGAGACTCCCCAGCCCCCTGAAGCCTCACCTCTGTCTCCCTCCACCCAGGAAAAGTGAACATGAGCTCCGAGTTCCTGCGCTTCAAGTGGGGTAAGGGCCAGTCCTCTCTGGCTTGGCCGGACCATGGTATATGGTAGCAGCAGCAAGGGATAAATCCCAAGACAAGGGCCGGCCCAGGGGAGCTGGTTTTAACTGGGGCAGGGCAGATGGCCTCCGCTGGAGGCGAGCACTGGAGCTCTGCTTGCACGAACATTTCTGCCTTTCCGTGGGGCAGGAATCGGACGCCTGATTGCCGAGTGTCATCTCAACCCTGTCATCCTGCCTCTGTGGCATGTCGGTAAGCCGCCCTCTCGGGGTGAGCCTGCAGTCTGGGGATGGAGGCAGGGGGAGGGGCCGGGGGTGGGGGGCCAGGGCTGTCCTGCTCCACCCTGTGCCTGCTTCCCAGCCTTCTGTTTGCTGCAGGAATGAATGATGTCCTTCCTAACAACCCGCCATACTTCCCACGCTTTGGACAGGTAGGTGGAGGCTGCTGACCTTCGTCTGTCTGTCTGTCTGCCTGCCAGCCATCTGCCCTTTGTCTCCCACTCAGCATTACTGAGGCCAAATTCAGGAGGAGCTGAGCTTGAGGCTGCGGCAGAGGGACCAAGTGGAACATTGAGAGGGCCTTCCTGGCACCAAGCCCTGTACAAGGAGAACAAAGGAAATCAGGCCTTGGCAGGGGTGGTCCCTGGGGTTAGGACAGGACAGGACATCTAGGCATGGACCCTGGGACCGGGACGGCCCTTGGATACTGTTGAACCTCGTCCTAAAGAGGAAGAGTGGCCAGAGGGAGCACCCAGCAAATCGGGGGCAGGACTCTGTTTCTCGCACCCTGAGGTCGCTGGGCTGGGGCTGTGGGCATTCTCCCTGTTGCTGTCATCTGGTGGCTGGTGTCCCCTGCAGAAAATCACCGTGCTAATAGGAAAGCCCTTCAGTGTCCTGCCTGTGCTCGAGCGGCTCCGGGCAGAAAATAAGTCCACCGTGAGTTTCCCCAGGATGTCCCCTGACTGTCCTTGGCCCCTCCCAGCACCCTTGGCTTCCCAGGGTCCCTGGGCGAAGCTTCTTGAGGGCTGCAGGTCAGCCCCGGTCTTTCCCCTCAGGTGGAGATGCGCAAAGCCCTGACCGACTTCATTCAGGAGGAATTCCAGCGCTTGAAGACCCAGGCGGAGCAGCTCCACAACCACCTGCAGCCTGGGAGATAGGCACTGCCCTGCCCAGACCCTGCCCTGGCTGCCTCATGGTCCTATGATACGTGCCTCTGAGGCCTGCAGAAGAGGCAGCTCTGGGAGCCAGTCCCCAGCTGCCAGGCCCCCAGTACTACCTTTCTGTTCTTGCTCCTGCACGCAGCTAGGGCTGAGAAATGGACTGATGCTATGAGCTCAGATAGGGTTTCTTAGACAGATTTCTTCATAACCCTTAAAGGGTACCCTCTCCTAGTTGGTGAGCATTCCAGCTCCTCTGTGGTTCTTCGGTTGAAGGAAGGGTCACAGCTGCTCTTTCCTCTTGGCCAGAAAGGGAGGAAGAAATTTAGGTAGTGGCCTTCTTCCTTCTTGCCTTCATGTGTTCTCTCCCAGTGCCGGCCTCTGAAGGGAGGGTAGTTGAAGTGAGGTGGATGACTAGGCTGGAGCTCGGGGAGGGACCCACAAGGCTGTTGGCCTGGAGCCGCTCACCACCTCATCAGGGACAGCCTTTTGCCACCACTTCCTTCTGCCTGACCTTCCCAGAGAACTGAGAGCCTCGGGCAGGGCCCAGCCCTGGGCTGCAGGCAAAATGCAGCCCTTTGCCAGAGTGGAGCCCAAGTTCAATCTAGGTGTGGCTGCAGACCTGGCCACTCCTCCCATGCTGGGCCCCACCAATTCTCCATCGTTTCTGTGTCTCCAGCATCACTCCTGGAGTTGGGTTTTCACATTTTGTAAACAATAAAGCATCTGTGTTGTGCTGTTTTACCTCTGGCCTCTCTGTAGCGGTGGGGATGGGAGGTGACCCACTGGACAGGAAGGCTGGACCCTTAGAGCCCTGGGTGTGTCCAGAGCACGTGAACAGGTGGGTGTCGAGCTGAGCTCTTGGCATGCACCAGTCATTGACATCAGTCGTGGTCTGTGATCCCCACAGCAACCTTGTGGAAGTAGGAATTAATCTTATTTTCCAAAGGAGGCAAAGCAAGGCTAAAGGAATGGCTTCAAAACCTAAAACTAGCAAAGTAGGGAGAAGCAAGGAGCAGTTCAGGGGGTGGGGGGAGAGGGGTGGATAAGGGGGATAAGTGGTAATGGGAAAAAATACAATTTAAAAACGGTAGCAGTTTAATCTTCCCTCCCCTACTGCTTCCCAAGAGGGAGGAGGTCACTGAAGGGCCCAGCGAACCTCCATGAGCAACATGTGCTGTGGTGAGAAGTGGGAAGGGGAACACCTAGATTATTGAACTTGGGACCCAGGGTGGTGGCATTCCTGGCACAAACAAAGTAAATCCTCTCTAGAGGAAAGCAACCTCAGTTTAGGGCTCCAGTTCACCCAAGGTGAACATTAACCACAAAGACCTCATAAAGATCAACAAACATTAAGGAAATGAAGCCCCATACTTATGTCAGCAGAAATAAGAACAGGTCAGCCCCGGCTGGTGTGGCTCAGTGGATTGAGCACTGGCCTGCAAATTGAAAGGTTGCTGGTTCTGTTGCTAGTCAGGGCACATGCCTGGGCTGTGGGCCAGGTCCCCAGTTGGGAAGGCAACCGATTGGTGTTTCACTCTATCTAAAAATAAATAAATAAAATCTAAAAAATTTTTAAACAAGAGCAGGTTGGAAACCCTTGAGGACTTCTGACAGTGTCAGGCAGTCTGAAAAATACCATAATTCACTTCCGGCCAAGATGGAGGTATAGGCAGATACACTTTGCCTCCTCACATAACCAAAAGAAGGATAACAGCAAATTTAAATAAAAAAAAACAACAACAACCAGAACTCCCAGAAAGACATTAGAGGAGAAGTAAGTGAATGGAGAGAGATCTCACAGTCATGAACAGGAAGAACTGATATAGTAAAGGTGTCAGTTCACCACCTTGATATATAGATTGAATGTAGTTTTTATTAAAAGCTAATCAAGGTTCAAATAGATACCTGTACACCGGTGTTCACAGCAGCATTATTCGCAGCAGCCAAAAGGCAAAAACAACTCGTGTGTCCATTGACAGAGAAACAAAATGTGGTCTTGCAAATAGAATATTATTCAGCCATACAAAGGAAAGAAATTCTGATGCTGCTACAACATGGACGAACTTTGAATGTATTATGCTAAATGAAGTAAGCCAGACACAAAAAGCCATATACTGAATGATTCCACTTGTATGAGGTCCCTAGAGTAGTCAAATTCATAGACACAGAAAGTAGGACAGCGGTTGCCAGGGCCTGAGGGAAGGGGAGGAATTCGGAGGTCGTGTTCAGTGGGGACAGAGTTGTACTTTGGGGTGATGACAATGTTCTAGAAATGGATGGAGCTGCACAATAGCGTGAATGTGCTTAATGTCAGTGAACTGTACACTGAAAAAGGATACAATGGGACCCTGGCCCGGTTGCTCAGTTGGTTAGCGGATGGTCCCCATACATCAAAGTTGCAGGTTCCATCCTGGGTCAGGGCACATATAAGAATCAAACAATGAATGCATGAATTACAGCAACAACAAATCCATAGGTTTTTTCCTTCCTCTCTCTCTCTCTAAAATAAAATTTTTTTGAGAGGATGAAATGGTACATTTTATATTATGAATATCTCACTACAACATAAAATTTTATAGTGAAAAATGACTCAATTGCTTTGGCCCTGGCCAGGTAGCTCAGTTGGAACATCATCCCGATACACCAAGGTTGTGAGTTTGATCTCCAGTCAGGGCACATATGAGAGACAACCAATAAATGTATAAATAAGTGGAACAAGCGCTAGCTGGTGCAGCTCAGTGAACTGAGTGCAGACCTGCGGCCAACCAAAGGATCGCGGTTTGATTCCCAGTCAGGGCACATGCCTGGGTTGCAGGCCAGTTCCCAGCAGGGGATGCACGAGAGGCAACCATACATTGATATTTCTCTCCCTCTCTCCTTCCCTTACCCTCTAAAGACAAATAAATAAAATCTTAAAAAAATAAAATAAGTGGAACAACAAATTGATGTTTCTCGTTCTCTTCCTCCCTCCTTCTCTCTCTCAAATAAATAAATAAATAAAATCTTTTTTAAAAAGACTATAATGATAAATTTTATGTTGTGTATATTTTACCACAATTTCAAATAATTCAATCAGGCTCTTACAAATAATCTGATCAGCGCTGGCTGGTGTGGCTCAGTGGATTGAGTGCCAGCCTGTGAAGCAAAGGGTCGCTGGTTTTTTCTTCCCAGGCAGGGCGCTGGCCTGGGTTGCAGGCTGGGTCTCCAGTGCTCGGGGGTCGCCCGAGAGGCAGGCACATATTGATGTTTCTGTCTCTCACTTTCTCCCTCCCTTCCTCTCTAAAAGTAAATACATAAAATCTTTAAAAAAAGAAGAAAAATCTCCACTTAAAAAGAAATAATCTGATCAATCTAACAAGCTGATTCTAAAAGTTATATGAAAAACACCATAGCCCATGAAGAGTCTTTTTTTTAAGATTTTATTTACTTATTTATTTATTTTTAGAGACGGAGGGAAGGAGAGAAGGAGAGAAACATCAATGTATAGTTGCTTCTCGTGAGTCCCCTGCTGGGAACTGGCCCACAACCCAGGCATGTGCCCTGACTGGGAATCGAACCGTGATCCTGTGGTTCACAGGCCTGCACTCAATCCACTGTGCTACACCAGCCAGGGCAAGAGTCTTTTTTTTAAAAATATTTTTCCCATTACCATTTATCCCCGCTATGTCCTCCTCCCTCCTCCCCTGCTGCAATCAGCACACAAAGAGCCTCTTGAAAAAGAATAACATGGTGGGAGGATTTGACTTACCGGGTATTAAGGTTTATTACGAAGCCATAGTAATTAAGATGGTATGGTATTAGATGGACAAATTGACCAGTGGGATAGAACAGAGAGTCCAGAAAGTAACTCACAGCTATGGACACGTGTTATACAAAAAAAGCAGCATTCCCAGACAGTGGGTAAAGGGTGTTCATCTCAATAAATGGTACCGAGACAACTGCAGATCTCTGTGGAAGAGAAGCAACCTGACTACTACCTTACATCATACATAAAAGTCTGAAAAGACAACATTTAGAAGATAATATACGTGAATATTCCCATAATCTTGGAGGCAAGGAAAGGTTTCCTAAACAGGACAAAAAATCTTAACCATAAAGAATAAAATGGTAAATGTGACTACATTAAAATGAACAAGTTCTGTTCATCAGAAGACACATGCCAGGGTTGCATGTTTGGTTCCAGATAGAGGAGCGGATGGGAGACAACCGGTGGGTGCTCCTCCCTCCAACAGTGATGCATCGCCCCCTCTCTTTCTTCTTCCTTTCCACTCTCTCTGAAAAGAAATGAATAAAATCTTTAAAAAACAAAAAAGAAGACATCATTAAGAAAGTGGAAAGGAAAGCCACAGAGTGGAAGAGATTTATAATACATATAACCAATGCAGAGCTCATAGCCAGAACATATAAGGCACTCCTACAACTCAAGAAGAAAAAGATAATCCAATAGAAAAATGGGAAGATTGATGCGAGCAGGCATTTCACAGAAGAGGAAACACAAATGGCAGAGCTAAATATATATATAATATATTATACCATAATATATTTATTATATATTTATTATATATAATAAATTATATAAAATATATTATATATAAATTATAAGCAATAACTATTGTATGCAATATTACATATAATATAATATACAGAGTATATCATATATGTGTTTTACGTATTATATATATACACTATATATGTAATGCATTTCCTGTAATTTGGCTCTGGCTGGTGTAGCTCAGTAGATTGAGTGCCAAGTCATGGGTTCAATTCCCAGTCAGGGCACATGCCTGGGTTTCAAGCCAGATTCCCATTCGGGGGTGCTCAAGAGGCAACCACATATTGATGTCGCTTTCCTTCTTCTTCTCCCTCCCTTCCCCTCTCTTCAAAAACAAATGAAATCTTGGAAAAAGAAGTAAAACAACAGAGATTTATTCTTTTCCAGTTCTGGAGGCGAGAAGTCCAAGATCAAGGTGTGGGCAGGGCTGGTTCCTTCTGAGGGCCCTGAGGGCAAATCTGTTCCATGCCCCTCTCCTGGGCCGTAGTCAGTTATCTCGGTGTTCCTTAGCTTGTAGGCACATCACTCCAATCTCTGCCTGCAACTTCATTTGGCTTCTCCCTCTCTGTGTCTGCTGCCTCTTTTTCTCTTCTTATAAAGACACCAGTCATTGGACTAGGGCTTAATGACCTCATCTTAACTAATTATATTTGCAAAGACCCCATTTCAAAATAAAGTAATTTATTTTTTAAAGACCTTATTTCTTTATTTTTAAAGATGTGGAAGGGAGAGAGAAAGAGAGGGAGTGAAACATTAATGCGTGGTTGCTTCTCACGTGGCCCGGCTGGAGACCTGGCCTGCAACCCAGGCATGTGCCCTGACTGGGAATCAAACTGGCGACGCTCTGATTCACAGGCCAGTGCTCAATCCACTGAGCCTCACCAGCCACAGCACTAGTCACATTCTGACAGTTCCAGGTGGACATGAATTTTTGAGGGGACACTCTTTACTCAGTACAGATACCCTATTACCTAGCAATTTCACTGACATGCACATGCAGGTACACCACAAGACAGACATGTAGTCGTCCACAGCACCATTAGCCATACTAGCCAAAGTGGGAAAGCACTCAACTGTTCCTCAACAGTGGAAGAGTTCAATGACTGGCAGAAAATGTATCGGGGGAAATGCTATGCAGCAACGATTCACATTAGCCTCTCACATTAGCCTCTGCCAATCTTGAGCAGAG